TAAAAAATTTTTTGAATCCCATCACTGTTCAGGTCAGCATCTTTGTTCCCCTGAAAGGCCTAGGAGGAGAAAGAAACGAAGAAATTTTTTTTTGCTAAGCATCCGTTTCAATAGGTAATGTTGCATTTCGTGGCTCTCTGAGCTATGGGATTCTGGAACATTGCCCTGCAGTCTAGCCTTACCAGCAAGCCACACTGGTTATAAGTTATATTTATGAATGGGCTTTTATGGATATAATCTCCTGGAAAGAACCGCAGTATTATTCTGTACATCGCTTTCCCGCAGACTCGATTCATTTCACACTTCGGGTGCCAGTCATCAAGCAAATTAAGTAGTGTGGCATGTAAATTGGTGAATCAGCCCTTAGCAATAAAGAATGGTAATAAATTATTAGTTTTGCAAAGCTCACCTTCATTAGAGACCTTGTACTGAGAGAAATCTGGAAATGGCTCCCAGAGTTTAGCCTTAATTAGTTCTTTAGTCTTGTTTTTCTAGTCTAGTCTTGTCTTTTATTTTATTTTTCTAAAACCCATTAGTTTTTCCGCCTCCAAACTCACTTGCTTGTTTGTTTGCTTAGGTATCTTCATATTCCTGTTCATACAGGTGCAAGTTAAAGTGATTGACAATGAAAAGCAATAGCCCTTAGACTTATATACCACTTCACAGTGCTTTCCAGCCTTCTCTAAGCGGTTTACAGAGCCAGCCTATTGTCCCCCAACAATCTGGGTCCTCATCTTACCCACCTCGGAAGGACGGAAGGCTGAGTCAACCTTGAGCCTGGTGGGATTCGAAATGCCAAATTGCAGGCAGCCGGCAGGCAGCAGAAATAGCCTGCAGTACTGCACTCTGACCACTGCGCCACCATGGCTCTGTGTTGAAATACAATAATAAAGGCAATATACATACACACAACTGACCTGCCCTTGTGTTTCTAAAGGTAGGTAGCGAAAGGAAAGGAGAACATAATCCAAAAGAGAACCACTCACAACCATATAGGAAGGGCCTTAAAAGTGACAAGTGTAAGGGATTGTAGGTAGTGCTTGACTTACGAACATAACAGAGCATGCTCATCACGCTCATTGTGTCACGATGGCTTAGTAAAATGAGTAAAAGAGCTTGGTCACCATGGTTTTATGATGCTTTTTTGCAGTGAATCCATGGTCATTAAGCGAATTCCATGGTTGTTAAATGAACCGGTGGCTCTTCTATGGAAGGGGTTTTTGCCGGAAACTAGAAGCGTCAATTGTCAGCAAAGCCGTCGTAAAACATGGCCGTGTGATTACGGGACCCTGCAAACGGCTATAGATGCGTCTGTGTTGCCAAGTGTCTAAGGTTTGGTCATGTGATTTTGGTGGGGAAACCTTCAGAACTTTGAATCTGGGTGATAAGTAACCCCAAGGGAGATCCACCATAACTTTGAACGATCATAAGCAACCAGTTGTAAGTCATGGACAACCTACATTTCGAAGTTGGGGAGCATTCTAGAAAAAGGAGCTTCCCGCAAGTAATCACCAGGGGACATTATTCATCCAATGACTAAGTTGGTTCTTGGCCAACAGAGCAGGAGTTAACCTGGCCTAGCATGGCACAGGCATTCTGTGCATGATGCTGATCCAAAATTGTTTGCGGCCTCCTAGGTCAAGAGAAAAACTCAAAAGGAAGCTCAGTAGCTCTGTGGAAGCTTGCAGTGTTTGGAGGCATGAGGCGTACACGGCTGTCATGTTGTGTTACGTTTATGGGGTTGCACAATCAGTGCAAATCAAATGGCACAGAAGGGAAGACCGGGCACGAGGTGACGACTGAACGAACAATACTACTTGAGCTGAAACTCATGTCCAAGAAAGGGCATAATTGGAAGGCCAATTAAAATAGTTATAGGCATTGGGTCACTTAATGACCTTAATTGAGACCGGCAATTCTGCCACTAAGCAAAGCAGTTGCTAAGTGGGAAATCGTGTAACCATGATTGTATTTTTTCTGGCTGGAGAAGAGAAGACTGTTTTCAGACCTTCATCTGCCTAGTGTCTTGTACGTAGCAAAAACAGTCTGGGGCTGGGAATTGGGGACACACTATGCAAACAGATTTCTCCCTTGAAAACCCTTTCTCTGCAATCTCTCTGCTCTACAACTGAGGCAAAGGGTCAGGTAAAGGAGAGCTTTGCTTTTATTCTTCCCATCCTTGCAGAGCAGAGAGGTTGAAGAGAAAGAGATTTCAGGAGAATACTGTTAATCATATTCCTTGACAGACCAAGCCGATCGATTGGGTTGCCAGCACAACTATATTGTTTTTATTGCGTACAAAAGCAAACAGCTTGTTCTCCTGAAATCCTTTTCTCTCCAATCAAACTGCTGTGCAAAACTTAAAAAAAACAACAACCACCAGTCAGGCACAGAACAATATGTACTGACTGTAATGATGATCCTGAGACTGAGGAACATTGCAAAATTTGATAAATTTGGGGCTATAAAGTTAGTTTTTTCAACACACTTGTAACTTCAGATGTTTGATAAGCAAGAACTATACTCTTATCTGTGTAGAAGTTGCAGAGGTCTTTGACAAGTGTGACTAGTTTTGGAGTATCCACCAATTGCACACCCGAACTCCTCTGGGGAAATGCAATCTCATGAAATCAGGTACACACTTGAATCCTCAGATCTTGGAATGATCTGTGAACAATATCTCTGTTATGCTAGGATCCCCTTTGCTTATCTGCAAGCAGAAGACACTTTCTTTTCGACCTTGCTATCTCTCTTAAAATAATACATGTGAATTTATGTGTATTTGATAGCGTCTATATATTGTTGCAGCTTTTAAAAATTGCAAGCTGTGGTGCAACATTCTGAGTTTTTGATGCTTAAATGAGTTCCTGTTTGTGGACAAATAATTTGATGCTCAAGTGAAGCAAATATATATATATATATTTCTGCTCAAATGAATTCTAGTTAGGTTTTTGATGCTTAGAAGTTTTCCAGTTTGGAGACAAAGCAAAAAGGCACAAATTAATTGTGAGACAAGGCAGTGTTGTCCCTGAGATGATAGACAAGGACTAAGGAGACGGAAGCTCAAAATAAACTCACAACTTTTTTTTTTTGCTTGTTCTACCTTTGGTTTGAATAAGGAATCATGGAAGAAGAGCAACAGATCTTTCTAAGCTTTTGGATAAGAGGCAGAATATAAATCTTAAGTAATGAATAAATAAGACAATGAAAACATGTACTGTGAAAATCTCAAAATATCTACAGACCCTTCACTTCCTGGACATAAATTATCTCAACTTCTATCCTCAAAATGGGAGTTTGTAGACTAGAGCATTGTACACTAGAACAGCATTGTACACAAGGTCATTTTTCCCCCCAAACGCCATCACTCTGCTAAACAACTAATTCCCACAACACTGTCAAACTATTTACTAAGACTGTATCACTATTATTCTTCTCATCCCCCCCATTACCTATCTCCTTATGACTATAATCTTGTTGCTTGTATCTTTATGATTTACAGTATATTGTCCAATTTAGTTTCCCAGTATGACTTGATTGCTTATTTAGTATTCTGTGACTATCTCTAAGTGTTGTATCTTATGATTCTTGATAAATGTATTTTTAATGTATACTGGGAGCATATGTACTAAAGACAAATTCCTTGTGTGTCCAATCACCCTCAGCCAATAAATAATTCTATTCTATTCTATTCTATTCTATTCTATTCTATTCTATTCTATTCTATTCTATTCTATTCTATTCTATTCTATTCTATTCCTATCCTATCCTATCCTATCCTATCCTATCCTATCTTATCCTACCCTATTCTTTTCTACTCTATTCTACTCTACTCTACTCTCCTCTACTCTCCTCTACTCCTATTCTACTCTACTCTACTCTACTCTACTCTACTCTACTCTACTCTACTCTACTCTACTCTACTC